ACAAGAAACAATGAAAACAACCTAACCTGATAAAGTTAAAACCTCATGCTCAAGTTCTATTTACCTTGATACTTACTTTCCATTTGGTAAATTTTATGTACCAACTTGGATAAGCCAGGATATCCACTTTTTGATCAAACACCACTCAATATGTTGCTGTGAAGGTATTTTTTAGATGTGATTAACATTTAAATCAGTGGACTGAGTAAAGTAGATAATCCTTCCATAATGTGACTGGGCCTTAACCAATCAGTAGAAAGCCGTAAGAAAAAGGAATATGGTCCTAATTTTTTTCCTCCAAAGTGCCAACATCAATCTTCCCTGAGACACCAGCCTGCCAGACTGCAATACAGAATTCAGACTTGCAAGCCCATAACTGCATGAGCCAATGCTTTAACACCAATCAGAAAGAATATATGCACCCTTATGTTCATTACAGTAATATTTACAATAGCTAAGATCTAGAAACAGCCCAAGCACCCATTGGTACATGAGTGGATAAAAAAAGCTGTGGTACATTTTATACAATGGAATACTACACAGCTGTGAAAAGGAACTCTTACCTTTTGTGACAGCATGGATGAACCTTAGATTAGATTGTAATGCTAAATGAAATAAGCCAATCAAAAAGACAAATACTACATGATCTCACTTATATGTGGAATCTAATGAACCAAATAAATTGATGAGAATAATAAAAAATAAAGTCAATGTACTCAATCTCTCTCTCTCTCTCTCTCTCTCTCTCTCCCTCTCTCTTTTTCCCTCCCTCTCTCCCTCACCCTCTCACTCTCACAGATTTTGGTCCCGTTTAGGACTTTGCTCTTAAAATTTCAAGTCCATGGATTCTGCTACCACCCTGAATGAGCCTGGAAGAGGATTCTTTCCAAACTAAGCCTTTAGATGAGGACATAGCCCGATCAAAACCACGATTAAAACAACCTTATAAGATCCTGAGCAGAGGACCACCTAAGCTATGTCCAGATTCCTGATCCACAGCAACTTAATAAATGTATATATTGTTTTAAGGCACTAGTTTGTGATAATTTATTATAGAGGAAGAGAAAAACAAATATAAGTCAATCTATTCTACTATAGAATGTATACTAGAAAAAAATGAAGAAATGGAAAAAAGCATTATAAATCTTGAGAGTATTAAAAAGAAAAAGCCCACATCTCAAAGGAAAAAAAAAAAAGAACTTGTATGTATATATGCATAACCCATGGACACAGACAATAGGGCAGTAAAGGCCTGGAGGGGGGTGGTGGGTAGGGGATGAGCTAGAAGAGGGTAAGTGGGGGGAAAAAGGGGGACATATGTAATACTTTCAACAATAAAGATTTTTTTTAAAAAACCCACAACTAAATAATGCTAACAACAGGAAATTCAGTCCTCTAATTATTCTCTGTAAGTTTACTTTAAAAATGCAGAAGAAAATAAAGGCTAAATAAGTAAAAATATAATTTTCTCATTTTTTCCCCTGTGCAGTTGAGAGATACCCTCTAGATTTTTCCAAACATGTTATAGTAGAATCAAGATATACATATATCCCACGTTCAAAGGCTGTTAAATCATGTTGTTTACCCATATCTTCAGAAAAAAATCACTTCTACTGTCGTGGTAAACAACCTGCTTCCCTATTTATAATGGTCTGGCCCTCTAGCAACTTCAGCGTGAAATTATAGCTAATTTGCCTACAAATGTCAGGTGGTCATAATAATCTGGCCACTCAGTGTATACTGTTCAAATAATACATAAAATAATGAACCTAAATATGCCTTACACGCCACTCCTACCTTCATGTATTTTGTTCAGTGTTCACCCTGGGCAAATCCTCCTACAATCTCTACCTATTAAAACCCACTTTAACACTTCAAGACCTCTCCACAGAACTTAATCACCCTTTCTTTTAAATCTTTACAATACTCTACTTGTAATTCTTCCATGGCACTTATAATACATTGTGTGTTTTTTCAATTTATATCATACATTCAACAATATTCAATGAGCATCTATTATGAGCCAGCAATATGGTAAATATTAGGTGTCAGGGGGAAAAAGGGTCAATGGGTATACAAAAGTGGCCACTCTCACAGAACCTGTAATCTAGCATAGCAGAATATGGTTACTTGATCCGTGCTTTTTTTTTTATTATTGATTTTTTACAGAGAGGAAGGGAGAGGGATAGAGAGTCAGAAACATCGATGAGAGAGAAACATCGACCAGCTGCCTCCTGCACACCCCCCACTGGGGATGTACCTGCAACCAGGGTACATGCCCTTGACCGGAATCGAACCTGAGACCTTTCAGTCCGCAGGCCGACGCTCTATCCACTGAGCCAAACCCGTTACGGCTTGATCCGTGCTTTTATCCCCACTCTGCTCCTCAAAGACATTTACAAATCATTAAAGCCAAAAATTGCAATTCTTAATTTTCCACAGTACCATCACAGGACAGTACATACATTTAATACAACATTTCATTGAACTGAACTGAAATATACCTTGTAGAAAGTTATAACCAAAACATACATAATGTAGGCTAAGAAACTAGGGGCCTTAAAAGTAAGTTGATATCTGAAAATCAAATAATTTATGCACATGCCAATATATATCTTAGAATGCTTTCTGACACTGATATGCACATGGAAAATTCAACTGATTTTTTCAACGAAAAACTGACTAAAATGCTATTTCTAAAATGTCATCATTATAGTATCAATTATGACATTTACTTTAAAGAAAATACAATATTGCGGAAGGTATAAACTTCAACTTTATATGTCAAATAGGAACCTATATTTAATTTTTAAAAATGAGTTTATATAGATGGAGAAAATGGAAAAATATGTTAACTTCCACTTTTAGTCGTCTACTAAAACAACTTTATGACAATAACTAATCTAAGATCAAAGTTCTTATGACTCTTTAATTGGCTAGAAAGGAAAACAGAGTCAAAGCCAGAAGAAAACAGTTGCCCAAAAGAACCTCCATTTAACTCAGAAAAAAGTATAGGTAATTTACCCATAATGAGCAATATGGTACAAAATGAATTTAAATATTCTATCATGATATAGGCCATTCTTACAACAAATTTTTTTCACCTTTATTTTGAAGATGTTTAAACCTTGAAAATGGTTCCTAGAAGCACTGACCACATGGATTTTTGCAGTAATCATGTACTGATTACATATATTACATGTAACAATATATTTGTAATTAAGTAGTCAGTACATTATATATATACTAGAGGCCCGGTGCACAAAAATTTGTGCACTCAGGGGGGAGAGGGGGTCCCTCAGCCTGGCCTGTGCCCTCTCGCAGTCTGGGACCCCTCGGGAGATAACGACCTGCTGGCTTAGGCCTGCTCCTGGGTGGCAGAGGGCATGCCCAATCCCTAGGTGGAGCCCCTGGTCGGGCTCAGAGCAGGGCCGATTGGGGAGTTGGGGCGCCGCCCCCTGTCATGCACAGAGCAGGGCGGATTGGGAGGTTGCGATGCCACCC